GTGTGGATTCTCTAAAAAGGTTGGAAAGACATAGAAGACAGGCAGCAAAGGATTTTAAAAGCCTGTTCTTCGCTCTGCTATAGCACGGCTTCTCCAAACCACCAATAATGGCCCAAACAGGCCAGGCAAAGAGAGGGCAGCTCTGTCACTAATTCCCACCATTTGGGGGGTGCACCCCAGAACCACAGCCGCTGCTAACAGAAATGCACAGATTTGCACACTCAGGCTCACCCAGATAACTTGGGCATGGCCACCCCACAGAGCCCCACAGCTGATTGTCAGGGCCATCGGGCATCATTTTGGAGGCAAATGCATGATGAGTTGTGCAGGCTATCCCAGGGATCTGGTCTTGCTGCCACTGCCACAACCCAGGGGAGAAGACCTGGGCTGAAGACTGCCCCAGGATTAAAAGGGAATTGAGCCATTAGCCTCTCCTCCCAGGGCAGTCTCTGGGCTCAAGTTACAATAAGGACTGATCACTCAGCAGATAGTGTGAAGCTCAGACATTCTAAAAAACCTTCCAGGAAGGCTAGAACTGCAAGCAAGGATGCAGCAGACAAAATAAAGGGCAAAAGCCATTTATTCCAGGAAACCTAGAGCAGAAGAAAGGGATGCAAACAGAAGATAAAAAGCCCTTGAAAAGCAGCTTTCCAGAGCTGACAAGCAAGCTGTGCAGGAGAGGTATTCCCCTCCCCCCAGCTAGAGGCTACCTTTTCCCGCTCTCAGCAGCCATTACTGCAAGCCTTCCCTGCAATTCAAAGAGCATGGTCACCAGAGGGAGATAGAGAGCAGGTTTATGTCCCCTTAGCAATGGAAATTCAAATAGAATCATTTCCCTTTGCTTGCATGGCCCCTGATCCTGCAGAATCACAGATGAGGGAGAGAACCAGGGTTCCAAGGCCACTTTTACCCCTACTGCAGCGGAGCTCCGCTCAGCAGAAACATTTGAACCAGAGTTGTCTGCGGAAATTAAGGCTTTTATATCCCAGACCATTTCACATGGGGTTGTCTCTACCCTGCAGAGGAGGAATGATCCCTCTTCCTTGGGCTCTGAGCCTCCATTGCAAACCATGTAATACCAAGTTCCTATGGAGGCACTTAGGCACCAGAGGGCAGAATCTCCGGCCCACTCTATTAGGGGTAGGGCATCTGTGATAGAGGAGGAAGACCAAAGAGAACAAGGGTTCTCAGAGAATGAAGACTTAATTCTTAACCCCCCCCCCCCCTTCACTGGGCTATTCAGCCCAGCATTCTTTAAATCTCTACTGCACAGGGCTAGAACCATGGCCCAGATAGGCACGCCTTGCTCTTCAGCAGTGCCAACTGACAACTAGGCCCTAATAACAAGGTGTTCTCTGAACCCACTGTCATGCAGCAGGACATACCCTGCCCCAAGCTGTTCCTAGACATTGTTCAGAGACAATGGATGCTGTCAGGTTTCCTTTCACAGATCCAAATGACTTCCGGAACCCTCCCACCAGCAGCCGGCTGGCCCTATTTGCAGACTGATGGGAGAATATCACCTCCAACTCTTGGGTCCTGAAGACGGTGCAATTTGGTCTCACTCTGGACTTTCTCCACGACTCTGAGGACCTTCACCCAATGCCCCACCTCCAAAAACCTTTTAAGAAGAGGACTTATGAACAAGGCAGTCCAACACTTGTTGGTCATCGAGTCGGTGCCGGAGGATCAGAGAGGGCATGGGTTTTACTCTATTCTATTTGTAGTCCCAAAGACCACGGGGTGGTGGTCGTGGTGGTGTAAAGCAATTCTGGATCTCAAAAAATTAAATGTACACCTAGAGTAC